AAAAAATGTATCGTTTGTATCAACAGTATTGTAAACCGTGTCCCATGACTCTTGCAATAATTGATGAATAATTTTAGTTTACTTTTAGTAAACAATCTACTCATACTTGTATTATTTAATATGTCAGTGTTCGCATTTCTTATAATGGTAAGAATTTGTACATAGTGATCACTATACCATACATCTTTTGTTTCAATTTCATATAGAATAGTGGTTTAGTTAATTAGTATTTGATTGATAGCCTTTGAATGTAGTGTGATCCTTGTAGGTGCATTAATTGTAATATCTAAACTAATTGAATTGAGAAACGAATGAAGTTGAGATCTCTTTCTTGAAAGATTCAATGAGAAAATCAATGTTAAAATCTCCTCATATAACGAAGAGCGATTCAAAGCAACAAAGCTTCAAAACAGCGATTGCTGACTTTGTTTAGTGTTATATCCAGTTTTTTTTAAATATGATATAATCTATTTCTCTCTTTGTTGGAGGCCTGTAGATGCAGAGTAATGTAATTTTTAGCGTAGAAACTCATTGTACAGGTATTTCAAAAACATTTTCAACAATTAAATGTGTATTTGCTTTTAATTCCATTACGGAGATTGAATCGATATTATTTCTAACGTAAATGCAAGAACCCCTATATGCAGGACCTTTATGCGATTCCTCTTCTCTACAATGATAGCCTGCTAGGTAAAAGTTTGGAATTTGGGAAAAACTAAGTTCATTATGAAATAACCAATGTTCTATAAAGCAGAGAATTTGATTGATGTCGCTCTGTAAGGGATTGAACATTAGTTTTATTTGAAAGGGATTGAACATTACGGTGCAGTATGTGTATGTTTTGCAAGTACCTACAGGTTTGTTTTTCTACTGCATCTGACTAGTTGCTATATATTTACTCCATTTTTACTTTGAATGCGTGGTCAAAGGTTGTAATCAAATTGGGGCATCAGTGTTCGCATGTGTAGGTGAATTGGTAGTGGGAATGGAAGAAACGGCAGTAGGATCAGAGGAGGTAAGAGGGTTTGAAATACGGGTGGGGAGTGGAGAACGTAAGGAAGGTGAAAGGGATGGATTTTTGGCAGGAGAATGTGTAGGACTGGAGTTGAAGCTTGTTGCCGGTTGCATGTTTTCCAGCAAGGTTCATATGAATACCATGCAGAATTAAGTTTTTCTGGGAGGAAATTAATTTCAAAAAGTGTTACATTTGTTTCTCTCAGTTGAAGTTTTATTTGTTGGTTTACGTGCTTATCTTGCTGCATAGTGTTGGTCTGTTGTACCAGAAGGGCAGAGTCGAGACTACAATGTTAGGGCGGCACATTGTAATTTGTTTACATATTGATCAGGTGTAAAGTCACCACCCAAATTAGTGTAATTTTGCCTTCCTATGATAATGACTGTCCTGATTGGTCAGTGCCTTCCTGTGAGCGTCCAACTCTGCAGTCACGTCTGCAAACCTCCCGTTAGGTTTAAAAATAGATGAGACTGAGTAGTTGGAAGGTAACTTCCTACTGAGAATGGAGGAAAGATGGTGGCCATGGCTGTCAGCTAAAATAAGTACTTGTTTTTTAGGATCAGTAGGAATGTCTTTGTTTTCAAGTGTGCTAGGATGCGCAGCTTCATTCGTTTTGGGTTTGATGCGTTTGCATTGGTTT